CTTTGTTTCTTAATACACATAGTATTCGTTGAACAACATTGCAGTTAAGATGAACCCCCTTGGTTCAGGACGAATGAAAAAAATCATCACAATCGAGATAGGGCGGGTGGGTGGGCGTACATTTTGCTTTTTTTTTAATATGTGTAGCCTTTTTTTCACAACATGAAACTTAAAACATGTTTAAAATGGAAAATTTGTATAAGGAAATATCGATTTTGGAATTAGGCTCCGCCCCATAATTGCCAAACCCATATTTCCTTGTCAAAATGGTACAATTAACCATGTTTTAAGTTTCTTGTTATGAAAAGATGGCTATGTAGGTATATTAAGAGAAAAAAAAAGGCAAAATACTATTAAAATTAAGAACTTTCAACGGCAACGTCAACGGATGATATAAACGACGCATACTTTCGCTGCGTATTTATCTTACAACGGCTAATAGTACAGTTTCGGCCAGAAAATCTTGGGCAGTATTTTTCTGTCATTTAAAAAAACACGATGTAGTCTATGCTTTATTGTCATAATGATTGACACTTTTAAAATATAAATTTTCCACATTGCAGTCTACGTCAAAATGACAAACATGGCAAATTTGAGGTTATAAGTCCGTAAAGCCTGTTTTAGAGATTATGTCACTAGAATGACAGAACTGCCCAAGATTTTGTGGTCGAAACTGTAACGTCAGCGACAAATTTATAAATGGACCTTAAGTTGAACAACACGAAATGTTACGAGAATATCATTCATTGCCCTGTAACGCGGTCTAGTTCTTCGTAAAATCCATCAAGAAATTATTTTTACTTCCCAAACGTAAGCGAAGGAAGTATTGTAATGAAGTCCGTCGGCCGACTCTGTACTTTTACATTTTCTAGACCTTTCATGACCCTTAGGGTACGAAAAAATGAGTCCCCGTTTCGGTCTGTCTGTCTGTCCGTCTGTCTGCCATCCCGATTTTTTTTAAGTATTCTCTGCCCCCTCCCCCCCCACTTTACGCCGCGACTGCGCCGGTTCTGACTGTTTTGAGTCAAAAATGATATTTTATTATGATTAGTATGTTAACCCAAACATCCTGCCAAAATTAGACTTGTGAATAAAATTTAGTAATTTTTAACACAAATTTAATTTTTTGCTACAGTTGTGCTTTACTAATTAATTTTGTGTGTGATTTGGGCCTTTTTGAAGTACGTGGTGTTTACTAGTTGCTAACGATAAACTCGACCGTAAGTATTTTGGTGTTCTAGAACGGTAAGTAATTTTATTCAAAACTTTCAAATATCTCGAAGAATTAGCACTTTGCTAAAAAATGTCCAGAATCAAAATTTAATTATCCCGCAGAAGATATACATTAATGATAAATGATAGAAATGTACATTGCTGGCAAATAAACTACTTTTAGCGTAACCCAGGAGCAACGATGTGGACCAAGTCAAAAATTCGTATGTACAATGAAAAATTGAGAATTTTGAAAAGTTGCCTAAAAATTTAACTTGTAGATGGTCCTGCAGCAAGATTTTAGAAAAATTCGCTTTGAAAATAGGATTTTTAGAACATTTGTAAAATTTTTATGTTTAGTTTTATGGATTTTGAAAAAACCGTTGAAATTTTCGAAGAAATTAAGCCGAAAATAACTTATAAGTCGAAATTCACAAAAAAATGTCTCGACAAACCTTCAAAAGTTCAGAAATTGAAAAATTGAGATTTTTGAAAAGTTGTCTAAACTCCTCAAAGAATTCAGGGAAACACAGTTGAGTTTTTTTTTTCATGTCCGATTGAGTTAATATTCTGCAATATTTTTGTCTCATCCGCAAATAACAAAACTAATCAATGTATATTGAAGGGTAGATCACTCTTATATAAATTGAAAATGAGTAACCCCAATATTGACCCTTGAGGAACTCCTGAGTTTGCAGTAAAACAATGAGATACGAGGTTATTATACTGAATAATTTGTGTTCAGTGTGTAAGATAGGATCGAAAAAAGCTTAATAAGTTAGGAGTGAAACCAAAATTTGTGATCCGTTTCATCAAATGCCTTTGTGAAAACGATATAGATGACATTGATTTGAAAACAATTTAATAAAGCATGTTGATGCTCTGATAGATACAAGAATGTAGAATTAATTCAAAAATTTCAGCAAAAGTCGAAAGGGGGAAATCGATCTGTAATTTTCAACTTCAGATGCATCATCGGACTTCTAGACAGGACAGATCTTATTAGATTCTTTATATTTTGTAGGACAACCCCTATTTCAGGAGATTTATTAAATACATATTAATAGGAGTGAAAGTATCTACTCTTTAAGAAAATAAAGGGTGGGTGGGTGGGGCTAGTTTTTGTTAAGATAAGACTGATATTGCCAAATAATATACCCTCCCAGCATGTATATCATTTGGCAAAATCAGCCTTATCTTGACAAGTATTGGCCCCGCCCACCCACCCTTTATTTTCTTCGAAGGTATGCCATTTGGCAATATCGATTTTATCTTAGCAAGTACTAGTGCTGGTTCAAAAATGTAACTTTATAGTGTTGGAACAAAATTTGCTAAAAATTCGGTTTGAAAAAGGTATTTCTAAAATTTCTCGAAAATTGTCATTTTTATTTCATCATTTTTGGGAAAATTGTTTACTTTTAGAAGAAATAAAACCAAAAATATAGGAAAATGTTTTTGGGTAATTTTCGGAGAGTGCTCGAAATATGATTAAAAACCCATTCGTGGAGGTATTGAAAAATTGAGATTTTAGAAAATTTGTCTAAAAATCCCAAAAAAAATACTGCCAAATACATTTCAACGAGCTAATTCGCAAAATATAATTTCTTGATGGTCCTGCACCAAGATTATAGATAAATTCACTTTGAAAAATTGGATTTTTAGAATATGTTGAAAATTTTCATCAACTCAAAATCTACAAACAAAAAATAGGAGTATTTTTTTGGATAATTTTGTGCTCGAACAACGGTCAAAAATTCACAAATTGAAAAATTCCCAAACAGTTCAGGGAGCAGACATTTACAAACTGGTTCAAAATCATAACTTTTACATAAACATTACCGGACCAGACTTTCTAAAAATTCGATTTGAAATGGCATGTCTAAAATTGGTACCTCGAAAATTATCATTGTTATATTTTACCAATTTTGGGAATATTGTTTGATATTAGAAGAAATGAAACTGAAAATAACATTTAGAAATCTACAGGGAAATGTCTTTAGGTAATTTTTGAAGGTTGTTCGAAAAACGAACAAAAAATCGAAATTTCTGAAAAGTTTTCGAAAAATTCAGATTGAAAATGAAATTTCTTTCATCCCGAAAATCGTCATTTTCCATTTGATTCTGAAAGGAATCCGGAATTTTCGAAAAAATGAAGCCGAAAATAACTTCTACTCTTTGTATAATACTCTTCTGACAGTTTTGAGTCAAAAATGATTTTTTATTATGAATAATGTGTTTATCCAAACATCCCGTCAAAATTAGGCTTGTGAACAAAATTTAAAAAACCGCGAAAAATTCAAAATTTGGCCTTCAACTGTGACCGTCAAAATCGAAAATTGTATATTCCTCCATTCTGAGTCCATGAGAATATTAATATAACAAATAATAATTTTCAAGGTCCTTTCTCTTAAAATGGATCAATGTTTAAAATTATTTTAAATGCGTTTCAGATTAAAACTTCATTAATAAACTGATATTTCAATAATTGCACTTGTTCAGGAGGACTGTGCTGTCGAATGCGATTCATTTTTGTTTGAACAATTTTAAAAACTTTTTGCGTTGTTTAAATTCCATATCAGAACACACATTAATCTGAGAAAAAATAGAGATTATTAATTAGTGACTACAACCACCAATTAGAATGTCGCAACAAACAGAAGAAATAAAGAATCTTGAATATTTGCGGTTAATTTCATACCCTTGTGGACTCGGAAACAGGTTCAATAGTTTGTTTCAGGTCTAATTATTCTTATGCTAGTTTAATAACATTTTTGCGGCTTGAATTCGAACATTTATTAGAGACTCTAGAACGTAGCGCTTCGGAAATCAGCTTACTAGGATTTTGGTCGTATATTGAATGTGTTTTTTTTATGTGATGTGGGGTTTTCTGGCTAAGAGGGTGACAATTGTTCCAGTTGTGCCAACTTTTTTGAAAAATTGGTAGTTTTTGATTTTATAAAAACAAAAATAGCGTGCAGTGAAATATTTCACGTAATATTAATACGTAACTTGATTTGAACAAAATTTTTATACGATAATGTCATAGAGAACGGTTTCAATAACAGATTGTCACCGATACTAGTGTTGTACAAACTTTGTTTAATTTGTTTGGCTTTTATTTTGTTGATTTTTAAAATTAGATTAGATCTTGCGTAATAGAAATTTTCCAATAAATTTTTATTGATGTAATATTGCAGAACCAGCATTCTATATACAGCGTGTCCCAATTTTCACCGAATTTGTATTTAAAATGAGGCTATCCCGAAAGATTTCTTATATACTGGGTGGAGATTTTTATTTATTATTTTTCAGTATTGGCTCCTATAAATGATGACAGATAATAAGAATTTCGCCGAATTACTAAACAGCACGCAACTTTGTATGTTCTAGCCTACTATATATATATTTTTTGCCATTATGGATATTTTACTGTTTATAATAAATAGGTATATAATCAGAAAATTGTAATCATGCTTAACATCGAATAAAAGTAGTATCCTATCTCTAGACCCAATCTTCTACAAAAACCTTATCATTTTAATTTTAGCTGAATTATTTATTTGTTTACCTAATTTCGCAACATTTAATCAACAGCCAATCAATATTTACTCAGTCACTCAAAAAACCTCACAACAAGTCGAAAAATCACAACATCAAGCAATCCAAATCCGATAAAAATTACTTAACATCACCAAAAATCAACACCGCTATAAATAAAATCACTTCACCGCTCTAATCTTTCCAAATCTCAGCATCCATCAAGAACTTTTCCACCGCCTCGCCGTTATCAGATTATAAATAACCGAACCCCATGCATCCGTCCTCATTTTAAATTCGCCGCTGCATTAAAATGTCAAAGACCCAGCCTACTTGTGAAAGTGCTTTCGCTGCGCGTTTCTCCCCATTGTAGCCCCAGTGCGCCCCCAAAACCGCCGAAAACACAAACATAAACCGCCGCCAACCCCTCGCAGTCCGTCATGGCAGAAAGCGGCAGTGAAGACCGCAGAAATTTTATCACCATTCGGAAACAGTTCCTGCGCCACCTGTCGGCCAGTGATAACGTGACCGAACTGTCACAGCGCTTCGGCGCGCTCGATTCAAACTTCGAACGAGTGGATTTCGTGGTGGAGTTGTGGAAAGCGTCGAAGATTGGGGTGGAGTTTCAAAGTGGGGGGAAAAGTGATGAAGTGGCGGTTAAGTTTAGGGAGAAGGGGAACGAAATGTTTAAAATTAAGAAGTTGAAGGAGGCGTGGGAGTTTTATACGAGGAGTATTTGTTATGCGGAGGAGGAGAGTGTTAATTTGGGTTTAGCGTTTGCTAATAGGTCGGCGGTGTTGTTTGAACTTAATCTGCACAGTCAGTGCTTGATGGTGAGTACAAATTAATCAAAGAAAGTGGTTGATTTTTGGGTTTTAGGATATTAATCGAGCTTTGGAGCATCATTATCCTGAGCATCTGAAACCTAAGTTGTTTGTGAGAGAAAAGAACTCGAAGAATCTTGAGCTTGAGGCTTTTACTAAACCACACGATTCTGTGCCTGTTATCACTGATCCGAATTTGAAGGTTCAGTGTGCTGGTAGTTGTTTGGAAGTTGAGGAAGATGAAGATTTCGGTCGTTACGTTGTAGCTGCTAGAGATATCAAAGCAGGGGAGGTTCTAGCTGTAGAAAAACCCTTTGTTTTACTTTTAGTCAAACACTACTTAAGTCACTGTCACGAGTGTGTTAGTTTATCGTACAACTTAATACCTTGTAAGGGCTGCACCAGCGCCCTCTACTGTAGCCAGACTTGTAGAGACCAAGCCTTCCAAAAGTATCACAAATACGAGTGCTCAATTTTAGCCACAATTAGGTATCTCGAATTAGACAAGCTAAAAATATTACCACTTAGAATCGCTTTTCTTGTCAAAGACCACTACAACGAAATTGCAAGCTTGAAAGTCAATCCCAACGAAATTTATCAATCTGACAGATACACAGAAATCCACAACTTAGTCACAAACTGCTCAAAAAGATCTGTCTCAGACTTATTCGAACGAGCCACTGCCGCTGCAATAATTTTCACTCTAGTCAAAGACCACACCACATTTTTTGAAGACTTGAACGAAAAAACAGAACGAGTGTTCAAAGAAATTTTGCTTTTGCATATGCAAACTGGTCCTTCGAATTTTCACGAAATCACTGAACTATCGCCTAACTCTGGTACGTACCAACCTGAAGAAGTGGCCAGTGGTGCTTTTGCGTTTTTGAGTCTTCTGAATCACTCTTGTTGTCCTAATGTTACCAGGTTTTGTTATGGGTCCACTCTGGTTCTCCGAGCGATTCAAGATATCAAGAAAGGGGAGCAGTGTTTTGATAATTATGGGTAAAAATTTGATTCGAGATGATTTGAATGTAAATTTTTGTTTTAGTTATCACCATGCCGTGATGACTAGGAGTGATCGTCGGGAGCATTTGAAAAGCCAGTATTATTTTGACTGTGTTTGTCAAGCCTGTGAAAACGACTGGGGGTTGTACGAAGACCTTCCTAGTGTGGATGATACAGAACTCGATGATTCTGTAGTGGAGAAATTGTCAGCAGGTGAAGTCAGAGCTGCCAAAGATGTTCTAGAAAAAGCGTTGGAGAAATTACAAGTGTTTCAGAAATTGCAGCCTTGTAAGAATTTTTGTCAGATGCAGGAGATTGTTAAGCAGTGTTTTGCGATTTTTGGGAATAAGAGAAGAATATTTTGAACCTGTTTGTTATTTTTCAGTTGCTGTTACCATTTGTGTTAGTGCTCTAGGGTTTGAATAATATTTCAACCGTAATAAAAATTGACTAAAACTTATACACTTTGGTTGAGAGAAAAAAAAAAAGAGACCACAATCTTTTCTCCTTTTTTATAAGTCCCTGTCTCCTATCATTCGGGTAGCAGTTGGAAAAGATCGACGTCATGTTGCCGGTAAATTGAAATAGAATAAACAAACGACAGGATGTTCTTAAAAAAACAGAAACTGGTTGGTGAATTAATCTACGTTAAATCAATCCATTCGTATTTAAAGTGCGAACGTCTGCAACATGTAAACATTAAAAACCGCAAACAAAAAACTTTACGTAAAGGCGCCCAAAAAACCTATCAAGGCTAAACACCTTCTTTATTCGGGTTCATTTCATTTGGTGATTTGATTAGTGCTAATATTGTTCGAATCAGTTCGGAATACAGAGGGTTTCTTTAATAATTTGTTGTTGTATTTGTTTAAATTTAAATGTTTTGTGAGTGAGTGTGTGGTTTGTGACTTTTGACAAGGATTTGCATGTGACGAAGAAGCAGGGTGGTGGAATTTAAAGGGTGAGTTTGATAAAACTAAAGCGTTGTATTTGATGAAAAAATATTCAGAACTATGTCACAGTTTTTCTTTTGATAATTTTGTTAACTAAGTTTACTTGTAGTAGGTGCTGGTGTTAAACAACTAAATCCAAATTTTCTCGTTACATTATAAAAAATCGTATATCAAGTTGACTTTGAAATTTTGAAAATTTTGCCGCTTCGTCGTGATTGTAGTGCATATTATGTATTATATAAATTATGAATCGTTTAGTATATTTGAAAAAGCATACCAAAAACATGTGCGAAAATCATGTTTCGGTTTTACCTTTCCTCTAAATATGTAGCACTATAATAAAATTTAAATGTTTTTAAAATCAAGTTCTAAAGTTACGCCCTCTTTCTGTTTAGCTGTTGAAACGAAGCATCGAAATGTCAACAATGTCAACATATTTTTTTCAGTGAAACAAGATATAAATTTTATGAAATCATTACAATTAATTTTCTAAGCCTCATTATTGGTGATATGAGTGCTGTTTTTGCCGATTGTGTGTTACAAAAAATAAAAAATAAAAAAACTGAACAATGCGTCATTGGAAAAATGAGAAAAAAAAATAGATATATTTGGAAGATCAATTTAGTTTAACAAAGTGTATAGTAGGCTAAGAAATATTAACAAAAATCTTTAGACCATTTTAAGGGAACCTATTTTCTTTTGTTACAGTAAGTCCGATTAAGAAGAAGAGGGGATTCGCTATAAACTGTAGCAGAATAGGAAGCCACAAAGGTAGGACCACACCTTCTTAGGCTAATTTCGAAGTTTTAGTGATGAGTGCAATGATTATAAGAAAATAACAGCAAAAATGTGCATGAAGTTATTATATTATATACATATACACATACATACAGAGATATTTTTTTAACTCACACGGCCTATGTTCAATTTTAAAAACACACATCAATATGTGTAATATTGGTTGCATAACTAGGCTTTATTACAAAATGGTGTTGCAACTTGCAAACTGTCATGGTGCTGTCATTAGTATCATTCAACATTCAAGCAGACTCAAGTAAACACGATTAACGAACATGTGAAATTTATTTACTAACTGAAACAAGTACGACATTTACTTTAATAAATACTCGAAGTGACCACCTTCATTTTCTAAGGCGGTATGGTAGCGGACATGCATAATGTTGGTTTCATAGTTACCAATGCATTGATGTGTGTTTTTTAAAACTGAACATAGGCCATTTACGGTCTATGTTCAGAGTTAAAAAAATGTCCATGTATATGCAAAATAATTATGAGAAATGTGAGAAGTGAGAAATTAGAGAAATGAGAGTTGAGATAAGCCAAATGAAATATTAGTCATGCGAAATGATAATTGAGATGTACGAAATGAAATGTGATGTGCGAATGAAATGTGAGATGCGCAAAATAACTAAAAAAAAAAGAAATGCGAAATGAAGAATGAGATATGGGAAATGAGTAATGAGAAGTAAGAATTGAGTAATGAGATACATGAAATGACATGTGAACAATATAGGAATGATATTTAAGAAATATTGATGAGCAAAATAAGAAATGAGATCTGAGTAATATGAAATGAGATGTGTGAAATGAGAAATGAAAAGTGAGCTCTGCGAAATAAGAAATAAGATTTAAGTGATGGGAAATGTGAAATAAGAATGCGGAATGAGAATTGAGATATGCGAAATGAAATATGAAATGTGCGAAATGAGATCTGAGAAATACGAAATATATGAGAAATTTGAAATGAGATATGAGAAATTATTCGATATGAGAATTAAGAATGAGAAAATTGAGAAATACATATGAGGTGCAAAGAAATATGAGATGTGAGAAATAGGGGATGTTTTAGTGATAAGTCCAAGGATTATAAGAAAATAACAACGAAAATGTAGTTATTATATTACATACGTATACACATACATATATGCAAAATATTTATGAGAAATGTGAGAAATGAGAGATGTGAGAAATGAGAAATGGGAGATGTGCGAACTGACAAATGAAAAATGAAAAATGCGAAATGAGGAATGAGATATTAGAAACGAGTAATGAGGAATGAGAACTGAATAATCAGATATGTGCAATGGGATGTGGGAAATGGGAACTGAGATATGTGAAATCGAATATGAGATGTGTGAAATGTAGGAATGATATTTAAGAAACGAAAATGACGTATGCAGAATGAGAAATGGGATATGCGAAATGAGATGTGTGAAATGAGAAGTGAGTTTTGTGAAATGAGAATTGAGCAATGGGAATTGTGTAATAATCAATTTTATAATTTATATTTTATTTATTGATTTTTGGTTTATTGTGGAATATAACATTTATCCTGTAATTGTGTAGTGTAAAGCTACTGTTGGATAAATAAATATTATTATTATTATTATTATAAGATGTGCAAAATGACAACTGAGATCTTGCGAAATGAAATATGAATGTGCGAAAAGAGATCTGAGAAATAGGTACGAAATGAGATATGAGAAATTCGAAATGGGAATTGTGAATGAGAAATATGTGTGAGAAATATGAGCTATGAGAAATATGGGATGTTTTGATGGTTAAGTCCAAGAATTATAAGAAAATAACAACAAAAATGTAGTTATTATATTATATACGTATACACATACTCGTATATGCAAAATATTTATGAGAAATGAGAGATGTGAGAAAAGAGAAGTGTGAGATGTGCGAAATGACAAATGAAAAATGCGAAATGAGGAATGAGAAATCAGTAATGTAATGACTTAATGAGAAATGAGAATTGAGTAATGAGAAATGAGATGTGCGAAATGAAATGTGAGACTTGCGAAATAAAAATCAGATGTGAGAAATGAGAAATGAAATGTGCAGAATGAGAAATGGGATATGCCAAATGAGAAATGAGATGTGCAGAATGGGGAATGAGATGTGCGAAATGAAAAATGAGATGTGCTGAATGAGAAATGAGATATGCAAAATGGGAAATGAGATGTGCGAAACGCGAAATTAGATGTGCGAAATGAGAAGTCATCAGTTTAGCGAAATGAGAAAAGAGAATTGAGCAATAGGAAATGTGAAATAAGACATGCGAAATAAGAATCGAGATGCGCGAAATGAAATATGAAATGTGGGAAATTAGATCTGAGAAATACGAAATGAGATTTGATAAATTCGAAATGGAAATTGAGAATGAGAAAAATGAGAAATATGATGTGTGACAAATATGAGATATGTGAAATATGGGATGTTTTAGAGATAAGTCCAAGGATTATAGGAAAATAACAACAAAAATGTGGTTAATATTATATACGTATACACACTTATATGGAAAATATTCATGATAAATGTGAGAAATGAGAAATGTGAAATGTGAGAAATGAGAAATGGAAGATGTGCGAAATGACAAATGCAAAAAGAAAAATAGGAAATAAGGAAAAAAAATGAGAATTGAGGTTTGTGAAATGAGATATGACATATGCGAAATGTAGGAATGATATTTGAGAAGTGGGAAATGAGATGTGCGATATGTGAAAAAAGATGTGCGAAATGAGAAATGAGAATTGAGTAATGCGAAATGTTAAATAAGATATGCGGAATGAAGTCTGAGAAACACGAAATGAGATATGAGAAATTCGATATGAGAATTAAGAATGAGAAAAATTAGAAATATGAGGTGTGAGAAATATGAGATGTTTAATGATAAGTTCAAGGATTATAATAATAATAATAATAATAATAACTTTATTGATTCCAACAGGTATGACACCCATTTACAGGATCAAATAAACATCAACTAAATAAGTAGTAACAATACTAAACTAACAAAATATAAATTGTACAACTATTAATAGTACAGAAATAAACATGCTTCATTGCGACATAAATATACATCTGAACAATAAGATAGGCAGATGCAGGAGGAGAAAAAAAGTTATTCTAAGTTTATAACACATGAAACAATATGTCGAAGTGAATCAAGGTTCATATCGCATAAGTGTGAAATTTTATTAAATAAATTGGACATAATTATAATAGGCGATCGCATAGACATATTGGTTCTGCTAAAGTTAGCGTAAAATAACATCTGTTGTCTGGAGTTTACGCGAGGTACTAGTAAGTTGAATTGGCTGAGAAGCTCAGCACAATCGATTTTGTTATGAAAAAGATTATATACAAATCTAACAGCAATTATATTACGACGAGTTTCTAATGATAGTAAATTATAACGCGACAGTAATAGGGATTGCTCACAACCTCTCGGAGGGTAAATACCATCTTCTAAATATACTATAAATTTGAGGAAACGTCTCTGAACCGATTCTAAACTAAGACAGTGTACATCGTAAATAGGATACCAGATTAAGGAAGCATATTCCAATCTCGACCTTACAAGCGAACAAAACAATAATCTGATAGTTTCAACATTGGAAAAGCGACGACAGTTTCTATAGATAAAACCATATATTTTAGAAGCACTGTTAACGGTTGTATTAATGTGGTCAAT